TTTTAAGAAAAATTAGGAATAACATGAATAATAAAATTGTTATACACACAGATCATAAACTAAGCAGTTTTCGAGACAAGTAGTGATCGATAGACGGAGAAGTTGAGAAAGCAAAAGGAAGATAAGCGAGCGGAAATTTACAGTTGAGTGATGTGGCAGGTGGTGCCGTTGTCGTAGGAGCAGTCGCATTTGATGCCGGGGTTGAAGGCCGTGTTCACGATGTCGGTGGAGTCGGTGGCGGCGCCGGTGCAGGGCTCTCCGCTGATGTTCCACGCCGGCGACGACGTCGCCGATGCCGTCCTTCCCCATCTCCCCAGAATCGCATTCAAAGCGGCAACTGAAACGCCAAAGAGACGGTAACAGATCGGGAAAAAAGTATACACATAAACCGCAAGCACAACTACCAAAACCCGCTCTCCTTCGAGACATTTGATCTGACTTGCATCATAAATATTAAAAATAATATTTTGGACGATTTTTTAGAAAAATACACTTCATATTTTGACCCTTATTCCTATAATTTTGACATAAAGCATAACATAATTAACAATTGTGATTTATGAGGATTTAAACTAACACAAGTTCCTGTTCTAATGTTGTTTTTACTAATTAAAAACATAGGAGCAGATTAAGCATGACCAAATAAGCCTCTTTAATTGTCTTCCTTGCAGGCGATCGAAGAACACAGATACACATTTCAATGATTAATTCTTATACAAATTAACAAATAATTTAACAGGTCTACAAAAATCAATATCTTGATAGTGAAGACCAATATAAAAGCTCGTAGTGGATCCGAGCAATGGTAAGTCGGATTCAAACAAGAACAAAAAAGAAGGAAAACAACTCTCAAAACCGAAATTTCCTTCAGGCATCGAATCCTTTGATGCTGCAACTCTTTTAGCCAAAAAGAAAACGATGTCAAATTCTGTACACACGTATATGATACGATGATCTCTCTCTGACCTCAGGGACTGCAGGGAGGTTGTGAGCACGCATACCTTCTGATGGAACAGTCGTAGCTCCTTCAAATCTCTCGAGAACGAAGAGAAGGCAGAGGAAGCACAAAACGAGAGTTTCCCAGTAAGATTTGTGCCGCAGCATCTTTACTTCTTCTTCTATCTCTGCGTACGGAATGCCTACTTCAGCTGTCTAATGATCTCAACACACAGGAGGACGAAACCACGAACGAGTGACGAGAGTTGAAACCATCGACCAGAAATAGGGAACTTAATAGATTGGTGCGGCTGACTATTCTATTCTCCGTCGACAAATCACTGTCGCGATGTTTAAGACAATGTCAACCCTGAGACTATAAATATTACAATGTGTATATATATATTTTTTTTCTTTTCTTAGTGTGATATTTTATTTTGTTTATACTCCATCTAAAAGCCCATTTAATTTGCAACATCGTCTGAGTCTGAAATGTCGAAAGGAAACAATTGCATGATGACAGACAGCCAGAAGGAAAATATCCTCTCGCAAACTTTGAATGGACACGTCGCAGTATCTATCGCGCATGCTGTGGAAAACGTTGTGCATTGACTCGACTTTTTGGGTCAACCACGTTGTTGACTCGTCCCATCGTACAAAACGATTAATTGTACTTGAAACGTACCCGTTTACAGTTTGACAATATGTCAAGCACATCGGTGGCTGTACGAAAGAAACCTTAGCGTTAGACCATCACATCCCAACCTTGGCAACAAAAGCACGGGTCCTCTGCAAGCCACAAACCACGATGAGAACGTTGAACACGGAACACGTTTGAGAGCATATGGTGCAACAAGCTGACTAACATTAATATGATTAGTCCCTCGCAAGGTATGATTGGTGGACTTGAAGACATAAAAATCAAATATTATTAAGAATAACATGTCCTAATCTCTCTAGCCACCTCCTAGGTGATATCTCATTCATGCCTCTTATTAATGTCTTTGTCGTTTAGGGGTTTTTATTAAATGCATGATCAGATCACTCGATGCCTAAGTATAAAAATCACGTCCTAAACTAAGCGTCAAGGGGGCCAAGCAGGCAAGAACCTTTTCGCTCGCTCATTTACACAACTCATATTGTTGTTTTTCTCTCCCTTCGTCTTTCGCTGACTTAAGCATTGGAGAGATTGAGTTGGGACATCCTGACATTTACATGCTGTGCAGAACGATCAACAACTAGGAAGATATCCCGTAGCTAAAAAATGACTCGACAACCAGGGGATGATTCCGTAATAAGGAAGATCTTCATTCCTCTACCCAACCTCGTCATTCAAGGTCATATCATCCTCAACGAACCATCTCTAAAGCACGGGTCCTCTGCAAGCCACAAACCACGATGAGAACGTTGTTGGTCTCCGTAAGTGGGAATACGGAACACGTTTGAGGGTGCAACAAGATGACTAACGTTAATATGATTAGTCCCTCACAAGGTATGATTGGTAGACTTGAAGACATAAAAATAAAATATTATTAAGAATAACATGTCCTAATCTCTCACGCCACCTCGTAGGTGATATCTCATTAATGCCTCCTATTAATGTCTTTGCCGTTTAGAATGCATGTCTAAATCACTTGGTGTCTAAGTATAAAAATCATGACCCAAGCTAAGCATTAGGAGAGCTAAGCAAGTAAAAACCTCCCCGCTCACTCATTTACACAATTCATACTGTTGTTTTTCTTCCCCTTCGTCTTTCGCTAACTTTCGTTAAATGAAACATTGGAGAGGTTAAGCTGGGACATCTTGACCTGTTATGCAAAACGATCCACAACTAGAAAGCTACCCCGTAACTAGAAAATGACTCAACAACCAAGGGACGACCTCGTAATAAGGAAGACCTTCATTCCTTTACTCGACCTCATCGTTTCAAGGTCAGATCATCCCTAGCAAACCATCTCTCCAATGGATCTTCTATGTCGGTCCATGAACCTTCGACGATGAATTAATTGGGCTGACTCATCAGTCGACGACGATATTGACACTATCACATACTATGTTATATTATCTATTGCAAAAAGTATTGACTATCTTACCAGATAGATTTTCATGAATTATCAGAAAAAAAAATTATTTGAATCTCATCGTTATCGTTCATTCAAAA